AAGCTTGAATTGGTTGCTGCACAGGCGCAAAGACAAAACCTTTTATTTTTAAAAAAGAGAACACTGGTACATTTAGAACTGAATGTCTAACACTACTACCGTTATTGTGATAAAATGTTTTAATTGAATAGAACCGTAAGACGATGGAAGTACTAAGTGTGCATCGTGAACTGGTTCCCAAAAACATGCGAAAGAAAGCAACTGGTGATTACGCAAGCAGCCATTTTGCATCTGTGCTGTATCTACAGCAAAGTAACGAAAGTGGGACTTAGGTCAGTTAAATTATTGGCGACTGCATGTTGTCTTTAAACTACAGGTGGACCACGTACTGTGACACTTGCTAACTGCACTACTGGAAGCACCATGACGTTTACTAAAATGCGTTTGAAACTAACATAGTGACACCTTTAAAAACCACTAACTGGCTTCACACAGCTAGTCGTACATATTCAGATACGTAGAAAGTTACAGAGTGAACGGAAAATAAAGGAAGTTTTGAAATACTTATGCTAACTTTTCAAAAAAAAAAAAAAACCTTCCCAGCGCATTTGTTAAAGGGAACTATGAGCAGACTAATGTTTTTTTTGTGACAGCACTAATAAGTTCGAAAGATGTAAGAACCGGAAGGCAATGATGAGAAGCAACGTTTGCAAAGCTGTATCAACGAGGAGGTTCAGAATTGTCGAGGGGAATTAAAAGTGATAAATGCATAGTGACCAAATAACACGGGAATCACGTATAACGCAGCGAAGCGAAACTGTCGCAGGATGGATTTTACATCAAAGTATTTCTCAGCATTTGATTACTTAAAGCCCTAAATAAAGCTTAACCGCCCCAAATGACCTAGACTTTACGGAGTTCAGGATTCCTCAAAAAAAAAAATTTCATACAGCATCTGTATTTCTAATCCTTCATTCCGTGAAAAGCCACGGTGGTTTTCTTGAACAACTAAGGATGAAACTTTGTTTAAAGGCTCTGTTTTTTTATCCTTCGGCAGATTCATCTCGGAGGAAAGGAAAAGTGAACAACAGCAACAACAGCTTATTCTTTCTTCTATCTGCTTTGCACAAACTGTCTTCACTACGTTTACAAGAAGCGTACACGATGTCGAAATTCTTCTACAACAGTCACTAGTAAAGCTCTATTTCAAGCAAACACTGTAAGCGCTTCACCAATAACGAAGAAGAATGTTGCAAAGTTACTAACCATCATGCTGATGCTTTAATCTGCAGGCATTGCATCGATAAGCTTACGTACACGAGCCAGGACCAGCGGGACGCTGCAATAACAATTCTGCGAGGTAAAAGGTTCGCAAATCCGAACGGAGCCAAAGACGGTCAAGGTCCCATCTTCTTGCTCAACAACTTCGATAGTGTTTTCTTCCAACCAATGAATTAATCTCCGTTTCCTGCAAATCTTATTTTTGAAAACTAGTAAATCACATCAAAACCAAGAAAGCCATCGCCACCTTAAATCCACTTCTTTAGCTGAGAAACTTTCTTGTTCTGTTGTTACAAATAACGACGACAAGCAACCAAAGACCTCCGGTCCATATTTCACACAACCATCGGGCAAGGACTCATTTTCAGTAATTAATGTTATATCCACCACTTCCGGTGCGAATACCAACTCAATACTTTTTGAACCTAGAAAAAGACTGTTTCAGGCAACCGCAGTGGTAATACACATCAGCTACGATTTGGCGGCAAAACATAAGAAATAAAATGACTGAGCGATTAGTTTTGCCTCACTAACAGTGAATAAGAAATAACCATTTGTAAGGCGATAAAAGTACACATTAACTAAATAAGCCATTCCAAGCCCAGGTAAACATTACAGCTTGAGAAATTTCCGGAGAAACTGAATAGTTCAAGTTGTACCTGGCTAAAACAAATTAGCTCTTTGAAATCAAGCTTACTTTACTCAAAAACCTCATAGATTAGCACAAATCAACAAGAATCGTACCGTCGAGAAGTTGCTGTATTAGAACTACGGATTTCGAAATCGGATCAATTGTGTAAATATTGCCTACAACTGGCGGATGCGACTTCAACCGCACCTTTACAGGAAGTCCGCAAAGAGCGGTCATTTCTGGAACTGTCAACTCACTCAAGGAGTATACCTTTCTTATCATTTTATTCTCGCCTACACTGCTTGTTTGCTTTGGATCCATTTCTAGAATAGGAACTCAGGATGTAAACTAGGAGCGCATGGCTTTTTATAGATGGTTTCCAGCAATAACAAATAAGAAAACAAGGCAAAAGACCCTGTCTTTTAACACCTCCACCAGTTAAGCACAAAGCTTTATTTAACGTAGCAACGAGTACAATACTGATCAGAATGAGCCAACATCTCCCAGAGAACGGATTATTCAATACCCACAAAAAACTGTCAAAAACCAGTAAATAATCAAGAAATCAACGTAAAACTACGTCTCTTAACTAATATTTCTACCCCTCGTATACAACACAGGGCAATCAACGAAGAAAGACCAGCAGCATTCCCATCTCCAGCATGAAAATCAAGCGAACTAGTATATGCAACTTTGCAGAAGTTATGGACTCAGAAAAAGCACAAAACATTCTCATCACTGAGGAGTGAGCTCTCTTAAGGCACATGGTTAGCTCGGTTTAATATCAGCAGTAGTTTCCAACAGCAAAGCATTTACACTTATATATAAACAAAAAATAATGCGTGTATAAGTAGTTGATGGCAGTCAGGGAAATTTATAAACCCAGTTTTAGCCAAGAAAACAGTAATTTTGATAAAGTACGTACTTTAACTGAAAAACTCTGGAACATTAAAAAAAAAATTCAAAAAAAACTCAGAATGTGAACCTGACAAGAACTTGGAAGCCTTTCCATATAAACATTTTTTACCAAATACCTGCTAGATTACGTAAAGAAACCTTGCAAGAATTGAACTTTTTAATGAGATGCCAGATACAGGCTTTCAAGCAACAATGCAGAGGAACAAAAAAAACTATGTGTCTTTTCAAAAAAAAGCCTAAAATAAAGAACGCGACTGAGATATTTTTATCTTCCACGGTGAATAACATGTTCAACAAAATAAAACGACCGTGACTTTAGCTAGCTGTTATGCTATTAGCGAAAGAAGCCATTTTTAACAAGATGTAAAGAACCAAAATGTACGGCTCTATAAATTCTACGACGCAAAATATTATCATTCCGTTGATTAAAGCCGTCGTCACGCCAGGTCAGTCACAAAGAAATTTCTGGAACAAATGAATTTCAACCTTTTATCCGCGAATAAAAACATAAAGAAATAACTGCCAAACTAAAAGTTTACAAAATGGTCCTTTTTGTTGCTTACAGGATAAATTGCTAGTTTTGGACGCTTGCACAAACAATAGCGGACCTTAGTTTATTGTGAGTACAACAACTCGGGTTCTTGTTGTAGACTTCTAATCAACTCCTGGTTCTCACGAGAAGGGTTATATATGCGAGATATAATGACGCGATCTTTTAATATCTAAAAAAAAATTACGTTCGAAAGTATAAGAGAGTGTAATACTATGAAGTGACTTTATTATTCACGGAACAAGTTACAAATAAAGTATTCTAAAATGTGGTGAGTTGCCACTGACAAAATTTTAAGGACAACACCAACAACTTTTCTTTCAGCCACGTTTAGAAAATAGAGTTTAAACAGCGAAAAACTACCTTATTTCCAGTTTATATGAGTAAGTTCTCCTCAACAATAGTTTCCGATTACCAGTCTCAGCAAAAAAACCAACACTATGCTCACATGACCAATGAAAATAGTCGCGCAAAAAGTGATAATCATGAATGAAAACCTTACACACAAAAAATCAGGAACTTGCATGGAAATGGAACTTTTTAAGGAGCGCAGTCTCATGAGGGATCCAAGTAAATGAAAAATGTATTTTTCAAATTTAAGTTTCGTCAACTTTAACGATCTGTCATTGGAATAACCCTTGGTTCAAAGACTCGTCCTACAGTCGACCTCGACGCCCGACAATGTTTTAGCACTGCAGATTAGAATTCTGTCCATACTCCAAAATTCTTCTGAGTTCTTACCCCCCACTGAGCTAGCGAGCTTTCCACAGCGGCCTACTAAGCCGTATCGGTCTCTTATAAAGTTCTTCGTAATAAATTCCTCTTACTACCCAGAAAAGTATTTTTAGAACCAAAAAACTCCTTGTTGCTATCAATCAGTAATAAAAAAAATTACTTTTCATTCCTGCTAACATTTACAGTTCGAACGCTGCCACAAGCTATAGGACTGATCCAAACAAACCTGTTTCGGATTAAAAATTAATTGATACGACATCTGTCAAAAAAAAAAAAATCCTCGGAAGATGGCACACAACTGTACGAAATTTTGAAAAAATACAGTTGTAGTACCACAACATCTGATCCACTTTCTGAGTAGTAATTTCTAGTTTTCGTTAAGAAGGCTTCCGAAAGAACCCACAAACAACCATCATAAATAAGTTGCGCAAAACTGCTCGAGCGATAAACGAACTTCAGGTAAAGGAATATTTTGCTAAGTGTGGTTACATCATCAAAGGTCTGCAGTAAACAGCTACGAAATCGTTTTCAAAAAGTTGTACCAGAGCAAGATTTATAACTATTCACTAGTCTCAACTGGTTTCTTATAGCTTGCAGTAAAAAATGATTTTGAAAGTTCATAATGAGCGACCACGCTTCCCACTGCAAACTACTAAGTTGTTCCTTAAACTGTAACTGTAACCGTATATATATATATATATATATATATATATATATA